TCTTTTCTGTCAAGCACCCAAGGACAGACAGACAGACAGACAGACAATGAATGGACAGACAGACTCCTACTCTATATACCCCCTCAATTGGGTTAGAAGATTAAACGAAGGGAGGAAACAGATAATAATAATAATAATAATAATAATAATAATAATATAATAATAATAATAATAAATAAACAAATAAATAAAACTACTAATAATAAAACAATAATAAAAATAAAAATAATAATAATAATAATAATAATAATAATAATAATAATAATAATAATAATAATATACACTAGATACCCAAAAAAGCAAAATTTCTTTTACTTAAAATTCACAGCTTCAGATGGTGGGACAAATCAATCAAGTGACCATACCGCCTCCACACCCATCCCTGCCAGCCCCTGACTCTGCCAACCCTCTGCATTACTACCAACCCCTTGACACCTGCCGACCCCTGCCATTACTACCAATCTGACCTCCAACCTCTGCCACCTCCCAGCCATTACCCCCGACACTCTGCCACCTCCCTGTCATCACCCACAACAAACCAAGCTCTGACCAACCCCTGGATCACGACCTGCCTCTCCCACCTCTGCCTCCCTCCCACTGCCTCCCACCTCCCTGCCTCCACCCCTTCCTGCCCTCCACCTTCCCTACCCTACATTGTCCCTGCCCTCCACCCATCCTGCCCTCCCCCCTCCTGTCCCCACCTCCCTGCCACTCACCCCTCCCTGCCCTCCACCCCCTCCTGCCCTCCCCCCTCCCTGCCCACTCCCACCCACCTCCCTACCACTCCACCTTCCCTGCCCTCCCACCTCCCTGCCACTCCACCTCCCCTGCCACTCCCCCTCCCCAGCCTCCCTATTCTCTTGTAGTGACAGGTTTAACTCATTCTCTTCTCGTGTAATTTTCTTCATGGCGGAGTGACGCCGAAAAAGAGTGATGTGTGTGTCTCTCTCTCTCTCTCTCAGGTGGTCAGAATATTTAACTTTAATCAAGATCCTACCCATTTGAGAGGATATTCTTCCTCTTCCTTGATGACCCAAGAGATCTATTTCTTTTCGTGTGAGAAAAAAAAATGGCCAATGGTCCATAGAGCTACGAGTGAAGGCCATTTTTGGACTTATGGTCTAGATGAGTTGCCAAGGGCCATTTTTTCAAATGGAAAAAAATGGCCAATGGTCCAAATTGCTTTCTCTCCCGGTTACTCTTTTATTCCCCTTCCTGTCTCTCTCTTTTCATCGGTTTGTTTATTTCTCCTCTCTCCTTCCTTTTTCTTCTTTCTCTTCCTCCTCCTTCCTTTTTCTTCTTCCTCCTCCTCCTCCCTTTTTCTTCTTTCTCATCCTCCTCCTTTTCTTCCTCCTCCTCCTCCTCCTCCCTTTTCTTCTTCCTCCCCTCCTCCTTCCTTTTTCTTCCTCCTCCTCTCCTTTTTCTTCTTCCTCCCCTCCTCCTTCCTTTTCTTCTTCCTCCTCCTTCCTTTTCTCCCTTCTCTTCCTCCTCCATTTCAACCTATCTTCCTTCACCTCCTCCTCTCTCCCTCCTCCTCAACAACTCTTCCCTTACAGCTACCTCTCCGTCCTCCTCCTCCTCCCCTGCATGGCCTGGTAGTCCCCCCGCAGGTGGGTCCTTCAGCAGGTAAACAAAGTCTGGCCGATGTGTCCACACTTCCCCTCTGTGTGTGTGTGTGTGTGTATATGAAAAATTACTATGTGTGCAATCGTGTACATGAGATGCATACTGAAATGTGTGTGTGTATGTATGTATGTATGTATGTATGTATGTGTATGTATGTTAGAAGACCCTATATAGATGTTGTGTGTGTACGCATGAGATGATTATTACACAGTGTGTGGGTGTACATAGGTGCAGTATTACACTATTATTGTTTCACCTGAGGGGAAACAGGATGACGTGTTAAAACAGGTGAGATCCATTACTGCCTTGAGGAGAACTGGAAGGAAGGAAGAAAGGAGGAGGGAAGGGAAAAGAAAGGGAGGAAGGAAAGGAAGGATGAAAAAGAAAGAAAGAAAGAAAAGAAAAAGAAAGAAAAGAAAAAGAAAGCATAAAAAAGAAAAAAGAAAGAAAGAAAAGAAGACAAAGAAAGAAAGAAAGAAAATAAACAAAAAAGATAAAATAATGAAAAGAAAGACAAAGAAAAAAGAAATACAAAGAAAAAATAAACAAAATAAAGAAGAAAAAAAAGACAAAGAAAGAAAGAAGACAAAGAAAGAATAGAAAGAAAGAAAGAAAAGAAGACAAAAGAAAATAAAAGACAATACTAACACTAAACAAGACAATGAAACATATCTCAGAGGGAGTAACAACTGGCTCTATGTTGTGTCAGTTCTATAGTATCCCATTAAAGAAAACGAGATGTCTCCCCGCCCTGTTCTTTCCCTCTCACCCCACTCACCTCTCCCTCTCTCTCTTCCCATCCAATCCCTCTTTCTCTCCATCTCATCCTATCCCCTCTCTCCCTCCACCCCACTCATCCCCACCCAATACCATTTTTCCCTCTCATTAACCCCTCTTTTCCCCATCCCACTACCCTTCCTTTTCCCTCCCATCCCACTCTCACTTTCCTTCATCATCCCTCCTTCTATCTCACCCTCTCTCTCTCTCTCTCTCTCTCTCTCATACACAATACCTTTTATCTCTCCTTGTGGGTGTTGGTTGAGGGCTGTAACACACAGGTAACTCGACGGTACATACCAAAAACAGAGAAACAACACAATTACAACACTGCCCACACCTGACAATGTATTATAAACACACTATTGTCTACTATTAGATTGTCTACCTGTAAACTATTAGATTGTCTACCTGTAAACTATTAGATTGTCTACCGGTAAACTATTAGATTGTCTACCTGTAAACTATTAGATTGTCTACCTGTAAACTATTAGATTGTCTACCGGTAAACTATTAGATTGTCTACCGGTAAACTATTAGATTGTCTACCTGTAAACTATTAGATTGTCTACCTGTAAACTATTAGATTGTCTACCTGTAAACTATTAGATTGTCTACCGGTAAACTATTAGATTGTCTACCAATAACTATTAGATTGTCTACCTGTAAACTAATAGATTGTCTACCTGTAAACTATTAGATTGTCTACCGGTAAACTATTAGATTGTCTACCTGTAAACTATTAGATTGTCTACCTGTAAACTATTAGATTGTCTACCGGTAAACTATTAGATTGTCTACCTAAACTATTAGATTGTCTACCTGTAAACATTAGATTGTACCCATGGTAAACTATTAGATTGTTTACCTGTAAACTATTAGATTGTCTACCTGTAAACTATTAGATTGTCTACCAGTAAACTATTAGATTGTCTACCTGTAAACTATTAGATTGTCTACCTGTAAACTATTAGATTGTCTACCTGTAAACTATTAGATTGTCTACCTGTAAACTATTAGATTGTCTACCTGTAAACTATTAGATTGTCTACCGGTAAACTATTAGATTGTCTACCTGTAAACAAGGTCCCCTGATTATTTACAAAAGCATCCACTTTATTAACCATCACCTCTCTCTCCTCAGCATACACCCCTTCTTTCTTCCCCCACAACAAATGTCCCCTTCTTTCTCCCCCCTCCTTCAACATACTTCCACCTTTCTCCCTCTTAAAAGCATAACCCACCTCCCCAACATATTCCCCTCTCCTCAGCATACCTCTCCCCTCAGATCCTCCTCCCTCAGCATACCTCCCCCTCTCAGCATACCTCCCCTCTCCTCAGCATACCTCCTCCCCCAACATACCTCCCTCCTCAGCATACCCCTCTCCTCACACCTCTCCCAACATACCCAGCGGCGGTGATGGCAAATAAACATACCAAACGTGTTTAATATGCCCCCTCCTCCCTCGTCTTCTCCTCTCTCCTCACCCTTCTCCCTCAGGCAACTCTCATAAGATGGATCTGAGAGGAGAGAGAGAGAGAGAGAGAGAGAGAGAGAGAGAGAGAGCCGATGGATGTCCAAAGTGATCTGAAAGGGCCACCTCCCTCCTCTCTTCCCTACCCTCCTCTCTTCCCTACCCCCTAACACGTTGCTACCGCCCCCCCCTCTTCCCTACACAGTCATTCCAGTCTCGGTTTAATTTTGACGCCATCTTTAAAAGTCGGCATCTTACGTTTAACAACTGAAGTATACATAACATACAAACACATATACATACAGATATACACAAAAAAATAAACATACACACATAGTACACATAAACACACACACACACACCACACACACACACACACACACACACACACACACACACACACACACACACACACACACACACACACACACACACACACACACACACACACACACACACACACACACGTTGGTTTATTTTACACGAGTTTTACACCACTGGTCTTCCCTCAATCCCGCAGGTTTATTTGGCTAAGACTTTTCCCCCTGTTGGTTTATCTACCTAAAGGTTTTTTGTGTTTATCTTCAAGTGGTTTTGGTTTATCCTTTATATTATACAAGTAATGGTTGTTAAGGATGGTTGTTAAGGGTGGTTGTTAGAATGGTTAAGGATGGTTGTTAAGGATGGTTGTTGGTATATGTGTTGGTTGATGGCTGTTTATGATGGCTGTTGTATATTGTTAATGATTTGTTAAGTATGGTTGTTAGGATGGTTGTTAGGATGGTTATTAGGATGGTTGTTAGAATAGTTTGTTAGGATGGTTAGATGGTCTGGAAAAGAATTTGAATTTTTCTTATTTGCATATCGTGAATCTGCAAAAATTAGGATTTTTCTTGTTTACATTCTGAGTCGAATCGTGTTTACATTCTAGTCCGTATATCGAGGTGTTTACATTCTGTGAGTCCGTAATATCGAGGGTGTTTACATTCTGTGAGTCCGTAATATCGAGGGTGTTTACATTCTGCGAGTCCGTAATATCGAGGGTGTTTACATTCTGTGAGTCCGTAAAACGAGAGGAATAATGTTTTTATTTACACACGTTAAAAAATATCTATTGTAAACCTGAGTAACAAGACTTGTTGATGGGGAGGCCCTGTTGATGGGGAGGCCCTGTTGATGGGGAGGCCCTGTTGATGGGAGGCCCTGTTGATGGGGAGGCCCTTGTTGATGGGGAGACCTTGTTGATGGGGAGACCCTGTTGATGGGGAGACCCTGTTGATGGGGAGACCCTTGTTGATGGGGAGACCCTGTTGATGGGAGGCCCTGTTGATGGGGAGGCCCTGTTGATGGGGAGGCCCTGTTGATGGGGGACCTGTTGATGGGGAGACCCTGTTGATGGGGAGACCCTGTTGATGGGGAGGCCCTGTTGATGGGGAGGCCCTGTTGATGGGGAGGCCCTGTTGATGGGAGGCCCGTTGATGGGGAGGCCCTGTTGATGGGGAGGCCCTGTTGATGGGGAGACCTGTTGATGGGAGACCTGTTGATGGGAGACTGTTGATGGGAGACCCTATTGATGGGGAGACCCTGTTGATGGGGAGCCCTGTTGATGGGGAGGCCCTTTGATGGGGAGCCTGTTGATGGGGAGACCTGTTGATGGGAGACCCTGTTGATGGGGAGGCTTGATGGTTGAGGGGAGGCCTGTTGATGGGGAGACCCTGTTGATGGGGAGACCTTGATGGGAGACCTGTTGATGGGGAGGCCCTGTTGATGGGGAGACCCTGTTGATGGGAGGCCTGTTGATGGGGAGGAAAGCATGGGCTACCAGACGTCAAAATGGGTCAAAGAATTCTCAAGATGGCGTCTGTCTGATCTCACAAAGAAAACAAATAAACAAGAGAACATCTGGCCTTGACTTGTGGCAGCAAAACACCGCACATTCCCACACATTATCCCACTGCAGTGCCGAAACTCGCTGCAGAAGCCATCGTACTAGCAGAAGACTTAACACACCATTCCCCAGAGAACAGAAAAGTTTATAACGATATGTACTTGTGTACCCCTGAGAGGAGAGAGAGAGAGAGAGAATTCAGTGGGAATCTCTTGTCTCCGTCTCTCTCCCACTCTCTGCCTGTCTGTCTGTCTACCTGTCTGTCTGTCTGTCTGTCTGTCTGTCTGTCTGTCCCCTCTTCAAAATAAAGTAAAAATATATATACCAGTCTAATACAGTTCGCATTTTATTTCCCCCCCCAACTAAAACTTTTTAACGTTGGTAAGTCCTGGGGAAGAAATATTTGCGAGTGGAAAAAAAAAATGTGGACTCGACAAAACAAAAAATTACACACGGTAAGAAATTCTGGTTTATTCACAACACATCCGGCCATGTTTGTTCCTTCAATGGTCAACACAAGATCGATTTTTTAAAATGATTTTTTTAGATTAATGAATGAAATAGATTAAAAAAATTAGTGAAACCTCCATATAGCGGACTTCTCTCAGCTCCAAGTAATAAGGGGTTCACATCTAATGGACCCTCGATATAATGGACTTTTCACTCTCTCTCTCTCTCTATCTCTCTTTCCTAGCCCCCTCCCTCCTTGTCAACCTCCCGTTCCTTCTCCCTCCCTTCAGGCCTATTCTCCCTCCGTCTTAGCTCCCCCCTACTCCCTCTCTGACCTCCTAACCCCCTCCTCTTAGCCTATTCTCCCTCCCACTCCCTCCCTCTTAGCCACCCGTTCCCCCTTCTCCTCCTCCTCCTGGCCTATTCCTCCCTCTCTCCCACTCCCTCTCACTTTCCATGATAGTTAGTTAACACATCAGCAGCTCCTAGGTGGTACACAAAGCTATTGTCTCCTCCACAATGCTCGTCCCTCCCTCCCGGCTCCTCCTCACCCCCCCCACGGCTCCTCCCACACTACCTCCAGGCTTACACTAAAACATTAAATATCAAACGAGCGATAAAACCACCTTGAGAGAGAGAGAGAGACATATGTCTTCTATGATTCATGCCACACTAACAGCATTACAAGACATTCTCCCTCCCTCCATCACTCTAAGCTGATCCTCCATCATGCTATCACCTGCTGACCCTCCACCATGCCATCCTCTGCTGAAATCACCCTCCAAGCTGACCCTCTATTACCCCTCCAAGATGATCTCCTCCTCCTCCTCCTACCTTATCAAGTACCTGCCCCTGCCCCCGTCAAGATATACCACCACCACCCCTCCCTCATACCCCTCCCGTCAAGATCGACCCCCCAACCTCCCCATCAAGACCTACCACCCCCTGCTCACCTGTAGCTGTCATCCCTCTCCCTCTCACCTGCCTCCTCTCCGCCTGTTCACCAGCTACCGTCCCCCCTCTTGGCTGCTCGCCCCCTCTCCCTCCCCTCACACTAGTTCCTCTTCCCCAAACAAGAGTTCCACCGTTTTTTGTTGTCAGTCTCCCAACAGTTTATACATAGTTTACTTCCCACCTGGTTCTCTCTCTCTCTCTCTCTCTTTTCATCACGAGTTTACAAGCAGTTTACTCTCTCTCTCTCTCTCTCTCTCTCTCTCTCTCCCATATAAATTAACTGATCTATTTATAAATATCATATATATACATTGTGTTCATAATTACCCCTTCCAATTACATACATAATAACATAATATATATTTATCCATAAAAAGAAAGAAATAAATAAAACCAAAACAATGTCACATAACCCAGACAAAACAAAAGGTTACCTCCAGCACTAAACAAAAACAAAATTAAAAATAACTATTAAAAAAAGACTTCCTGCGTCTGTATCCCTCTAAGACCACGACCCAACAATAACACTGACAATAAATAAAAATAAATACAACATGAAATAATAAATAAATACATAAAAAAAATAATAAAATAAAATAAAATAAAGAAATAAAACCAAATAAATATATGAATCAATAAAAATAAATAATAAATAAGACCAGAAAAAAATTATATACCACCAGCCACTAATCCCATCACGTACAGCAGCGGACACAATTCCCTGGACACTTTTGGACGGGGGAGGAGGGAGGTTGAACACGTACAAGGCCAAGTACATAACCCCCCCACACACTAATGAATAACACTAATATTAACTATATGAGTAAATGGTTTATCACCTCCTCTCCCTCACCCTACTATCCCTCCCTCACCCCTACTATCCTTCCCTACCCTCCCTCACCCCTACTATCCCTCCCTACCCCTCCTCACCCCTACTATCCCTCTCTACCCTCCCTCACCCCTACTATCCCTCCCCACTCCCTCCTCACCCCTATCCCTCCCTCACCCCTACTATCCCTCTCTACCCTCCCTCACCCCTACTATCCCTCTCTACCCTCCCTCACCCCTACTATCCCTCTCTACCCTCCCCCTCACCCCTACTATCCCTCCCTACCCTCCCCACCCCACCCTCCCTCACCCCTACTATCCCTCCCTTACTCCTCCCTCACCCCTACTATCCCTCCCTACCCTCCCCTCACCTCCTCACTACCCAACCCTTCCTCCCTTACCTCTCCCACACTACACCACCACTACTACCATTACCACCATCACTACCACCATTACCACCATCACTACCACTATTACCACCATCACTACCACCATTACCACCATCACCACCACTACCACAACACCACTACTATCACCAATACCAACACAAGTACCATCATAAATCATACACTACTGTCACCAGTACTACTACCAATACCACACCACTACTACCATCAACCACCAAAACACCACTACTACTACTACTACCACCACCACTACTACTACCACCACCACTACTATCCACCACCACCACTACCACTACCACCACTACCACTACCACCACCGTCACTACAGCTGCCATCATTCGTTAACATTGGCTACTTATGAGATCAAAGCCTGGCCTGCTGTTTTTCAGGGATGGATTGACGTTCATGCTATGTGTGTATGTGTGTGTATGTATGTATGTATGTGCGTGTGTATGTGTGTGTGTTCTGATTCTCCCGTTGTGATTCGTTTAGCGACACACCAGCGAGGTACCAGGCGACCAGGACAGACATACATACATACATACATACATACAATTACAAACATATACACGTACAAACAAACAGGTTTATATAGATACAAAACGTACACACACACACACCTACACCTACATAACTCACATAAACAGATTACCTCCAATAGACACACAAAAAATAATTCAACACTATATTTTATGGCTCAGGGGCTATAAAAAGAGGGTTGTTAGGTTGTTAAAGGGAGCCTTGAGAGTGTATGTTGTAATTTGTATTTAGTTGATTTATTAATTAATTTAGAATACCTGTTTAGAGATCTTACGTGTTAGTGAGGAGTTGTGGTATATTATTACTGTAGATGAGTGTATTGGTGTCGTCTTAAACAGCCTCCCACCACGCCAGGGCCACATGTATACACGCCTTCCCACCACGCCAGGGTCATGTATACACGCCTCCCTACAGGGGTACATGTATACACGCCTCCTACGCCAGGTACATGTATACACGCCTCCTACGCCAGGGTACATGTATACACGCCTCCTACGCCAGGGTACATGTATACACGCCTCCCTCGCCTTTACATAGTTTATGTGTAATTAACTACAGTAAAAAAAAAAATAACGACCATTAAATTAAATGTGTTTTGATGGTGGTTGGTGACGTGTCTAGTGCCATTACCTGCCTGATGCCTCCGGTACAGGTACAGGTACAGTACAGGTGCAGTGACGTGCAATCACTGACAACAAACACATTTAAACTGTACATACACACAGATACACACACCACATCACGCACACATCACACACACACACACACTGTACACATACACACAAACAACAGCACTTGCCTCCTACAAAACTAAGCAACACACACACACACACACACACACACACACTGCACATACACACAACAGCACTTGCCTCCTACAAAACTAAGCAACACACCAGTTAGTTTATCAACTCATGGTAAGATGTGTGACTCTACTATTTTATTTGTGCCATATATAGAGAGGGAGAGGGAGGAGAGAGGTGAGAGAGGGGGAGGGAGGATAGATAGAAAGGAGGGAGGTGGAAGGAGAGAGAAGGGGAAGGGGAGGAAGAGGAGAAGGGGAATGAAGGAGAAGAGAGGAAGGGTGAAAGAGAGAGAGATGGAGGAAGGGGGGGATGGGGAGGAGGAAGGAGGGATAGGTCGGTTACACCCCAAAGTCGTAATTTTAAAGTGCCGAGTAATATTTACCCAGATATTGTTGTGTGTTGTGTTGTTACTGTAATTTTGTTTTGGTGTGTGTACCAATTTAACCCTTCCCCTCCTCTCCTTCTCTCCATCTCCCCTTTCCTCTCGATCGCCCCTTTCCTCACTTCATATCACCCTCCTTCTCTTCATTTCCCCTCCTCTCTCCATCCCCTCCACACTTCATCCTTCCTCTCCCCTCCCTCTCTTCTTCCTCCCCGGCTATTTCATGGAAGGGGAATGAGAGGATGAGGACAAGGGAGAGCCTGCGCTACATGACCAGTTTGTTCCGTGAATGAATGTGTGTCTCGGGGATTTATGGAGTAGTTGGCTATTAATCCGGCAAGTAAAAGAGTCTTGTTGTTTTGGTGTTGGAAGTTCGTAATAGAGTTTATTTAGCGTCCTATATGAAGGCTTGGCAATGTATGGTGTGTGTGTGTGTGTGTGTGTGTGTGTGTGTGTGTGTGTGTGTGTGTGTGTGTGTGTGTCCACCTTTCCCTGTACCGTATGGGGAGAGGAAGGTGGTGAGGAGGGAGGAGAGAGGAATCCTTATGGGTAGGAGACACTATATTAATATATGTTAAAGGAAGAGGAGGAGGAGGAGGAGGATGATTAATTGTGAAGAGATCCCCACCACCAACCACCAGCCACCACTATCATCCTCAACACCACCCACCACCATCATCACTACCAACCACCACCATCTCCTCGTCGTCAGCTCACCACAGATAACGCT